TTGTCATTGTCGCCGACTATCCAACTACAGGACTGGACAAGCTTTGCATTTTGACTCATATTTTGTTTTTCACTTCCATCTTGAACATTTTAGGATTAGAAATTCCACTGTGAAATATTTGTGTAGTTTTACTTTTATATGATTTTTATTTTGGTCCTAGGTTGGTCCTAAGTTTTTAGAAGTGGACTTAATGTGAACAACGGTGAAGTTTGTTACAACAAGACATAAGGAGTCATGTGTCGTGTCTAAATACGATGCCAATTGGCTATCATTTAGAGTAAAAATATTTTTTTGATAAAGATAGGATAATCTACATTAGACTACAAGAAGGAAGATTTAAATACAGGACCTCAGATACAAAAATAAATACTTTTAACCAACTGAGTTACAAACTACTTACGATTTAAGGCAAAAATATGAATCGTTTTGATATGAGCATTATGCGAGGCCTAGTGGAGACTAGAGCAAATATTTAAGTTCAAATTGATAAAATTAAGAATCCATGTCAACTTAAACTATGGTGCCCTAGAGACTATAGCGATGAGGCGACCAAACAAACAAAAGGTACAAGAATTCTCCTCCCTCTTTTTTTTTCTCTCATTCTCTCCCCTCCTGTTTGAATGCTTAAGATTTCATCTTTGTAGAGAGAAAGAAAAAAAAATTGTGAGAGAAGGGGAGGGAAGGGAGGGAAAAGGGAGGGGAGAGGATCCCCATCATAACAGAAGATAAAGATTAATATGATGGGGCATTTGAAACTGATATCTGTTTCAACTTTGAGGAAAAAAATATCACTAGATATCTAATTGACGACTATGAACATTAACCACAAGGGATTGTAAATTAATAAGTGAATTGGGTTTGATTAAAAAAATTAAATATCAATTAGTATTATGATTTAATGGTATTTCTCTTCACTTGTAAGTAAATTGAAAAGCCTCAAGTTCAACTTACAAAGGCGGGAATTGCTTATACAATTCGTCTTGAGTTTGATACCTAGTTGTGGTTGGCTCATCGAGTTATGTCAAAGACCTAACCCTTTTTTTTAGGGAACTTTAACGAAAAACTCCCGGTACTGTTCACTTTAACGAAAAATCATATTTTTACACTAAAAAGTCAATCCTGGTACTATTCACTTTACTCTTTATTTTGTCCTTATCGTTGAAACTCAAAGATTTCAAGCCATTTTCATTAGTTTTTTTTTTTTAAGGAAAACTAATGAAAATGATTTAAAAACTTTGAGTTTTAACGATAAGGACAAAATAAAGGGTAAAGTGAATAGTACCATAATTGACTTTTTAGTGTAAAAATATGGTTTTTCATTAAAGTGAACAGTACTATAAGCTTTTTGTTAAAATTTTTGTTAAAATTCCTTTTTTTAATAGTAGATTTATTGTTGTATAATATATGTTAAAAAATAGTGATTAGATTGGGCCAATATCATGACCAAGAAGGCTAGAAGCCCTATCCAGCCCAGTTGTCTAACCTTTATATTCTGAAAGACGGCCTGTGGGCTTAATGCGACATTGGATCCATAGTCGCCTCAACCGAGAATGGATCCAGCGCAGAATTATGTTTAGTTATCTGACCATAAACCCTTGTTGCAATGCATAATCTCTTTACTTTAGACTATGAATACTTTGCCCGTCATGAAAAAAGGTAATGTACACATTAGCAACGACAGAAACAAAGAGTGGTGGCACATCTAACTGGCAATAGTGCGTGGTAGCAACAAAACTGGTAAGAGTTATGGGTGACGACCAGAGAAATGGTCCCGCATGATGGCATCAAGGTTATTAAACTCAACTGTGGGACCATGAATTTTATTGGGTCAGAGTAAAGATAGATCGGAATACTAGTACCTCAGAAATCTGGTTATAGACTCAATGAAATTGATAAGACTAAGCAGCCTAAATAGAATAACGGTCCACCACACCCAGTTGGGCCCCAAAATGGTTGGTGAGGTCCACAAACCTCGTTGAGATTGACCATGTTTACTCTGCAAGACACGAAAACCTAATCCGATTGGGGATGAGTTTGGTTTCTTTTATCTTGGAGATTCCTACAATCTAAAGATTAGCGTGTGTCACAAGTAATTACAATCTTAAAAGAAACCAATATCTTATAGGATTCTCTCTGTTTAAACAAATCATATATCCTAAAAAGACTCCCTTCCGACTAGTATGAATACACCCATCTAGGGCATATAACGTTTTTCATATGCATACTATGCTCTCTAGCCCACTACTTGAGTTCACATACTTTATACCAACTTGATAGTGGAGAGCCTTTAGTCGGTACCATACCGGTATCTTAGGTTATCTACGGCTGTTTGTTCTTGTTTGTAGCTGGCCATTTTCGCACAACTCCATCGTCTATGGTTGTGCATAATTTTAGTTCTAACATCAACCACAAGAAATTTTTGGTGTATACCGAATATGATCACATAGCGTTACAGTTTCACTAAAATTACTCAACATGCATTTGTTTATTTGTTTATTTTTTATTATTATTAATATGCATAATTAACGTTAGACGAAGAAATTTCAAGCCGCTAAACTTGTGTCTCTGTTACTCATCTGTTTTGTCACGTAACGTTAGTAAGAGACATAATGTACAAAAGCTAATCATATACAATGAGTCTATGTCTATAGTGTTCCCCATAACATTAAATTATGAATGTACGAAAGATTATAATAGTTATGACGAAGAAATTAGGTAGCTGAACCAAATAATTGAATTGAATACACGTTAGTTGAACTACTCCATCACTCCAAATATAATCCCCTAAACATTTGTTTAGCAAACTTGTCTTCAATTAATTACCGAAATTATTGTCCATAATTTATGTCAAGACAAAATCATAATCACTTATACCCCAAGTAATGCGTACTGTAATATTGTTATAACCTTTCGCAAGCTACCTTTGTTTTCCCATGTGTGACAACATTATCATTTTTCATACATTTGCAACCGTCAAAATACGCCACTAACTAGTTTTTAGTATACTGATAATTTTGTTTATAGAAAATTTCATTTTAATCCTTGGCAACGATGATTTTTAGATTAAAATCTGATTTTAGTCTCTTAATACATTAATAACCTCATTTATTAATTATATTTTGATTTTTTAATTATTTATCTTTTTCTTCTTAATTTTTAATGTATTAATTTTATTTCATTACAATTTTCATTTTCATTTCATTTATCCTAATATATTTTATTGTAAACATTTAGATAAACTAATTTTTGTTATACAATATATTTCGATGTACTTTGTCTTCTTCATTTAGGTACATTAAATTCATTATAATAGATTTCGGTACATACATCTAGGTACACACATTTCGGTACATATATTTCGATACAAACATTTAGGTACATTAATTTAATATAATACATTTCAATGCATATATTTCTGTACATACATTTCAGTACTAACATATAAATACATTAGTTCAATATAATATATTTCGGTACATTAATTGAGTCTTTCAAGTTTGAAGAATGTTAAATAAACTTAATAAATTAAAAAACTCTTCTTTGGTCAAAAAATAAATTAAAATTTGTATATTGATAATTTAAATATTTAATGGGAGACATTAAATAAAATGCACATTAATTATTTTGAATTAAGGACACATTAATGGATTATAATCAATATGTAATCTAACACTAGATTTATTTTAAATTTTAATATTTTTGAAGGATTAAAGTTAAAAAAAACCCCTTTTATTTATCTAAAAAAAGTTTCGATTGAAATTAAATAAAAATTATATAAAAAATTGATACGTAATTATAACTAATCTTATCACGATAACTATTTTTATTTGTATATGTTAGCCCATTATAAAAGCATCTGGAAAAATGCCATCGTCTACAAATTTAATTTAAAATGATTTTTGTAAGGCAGTAAAATTAAATTACTATTTCAATTAATTTCTTAAATTGTGGAATTTTAAATTGGAGATAAAATGGATGTCACATCAACGTACGTATAGGCCGGGTAACACGAAATTTGCACCACATATGACACATGTGCATAATACATCTCTTCTGTTCATTTTTGGCACGGCTAGATCTGGTATACTATAAGTATATGCACAATAATTAATGTGTCAAAATCAAACATATTTTGTCACTAAACTCATAATTATGAACTTGAAGGCAATACATGAAAAACCATCATGGATAACCTAGTGGGTAGAGATTAATTCCAAGACTTGCATTTCACACTGCACGTTTTGAGTTATTTTTTCAAATAGAGGTTGAAGTGCCTTTGTAAGTCTTTTCGGTATCTAAAATAATAAAATGTTGTGACAAAACTATTAGCTGATCTATTTTTAGAAAAAGAAAAGGTAATACGTAATGGTACGACAAAGAACTCTCGCATCAACAATTAAGCGATAAATACATGATGTATGCATATGATTGTATTTAAAGAAAACTCATATTTCATACGCATCAACGATATTTACGTATACAAAAACAGATAGCAAATCATTGTATACTAAAGAAACTTAGGGAAGATTTTGTTGAAAAAAAAGAAGATGACGACGGTGCTTTTGGTTCGTTACGACCTCTGAAATTACGAGGATTCTAATTTTCCAACTGTATATTTTAACTGTTTAACCAACCCCTTGCTCCTCGCGCCCAATCTCTAATCCGAAACTCTATCCAATATCTCCACCTCCGCCTCCTCCCCTTCCTCCACCTCGTCGTGCTTATCAGGTTCCTCCACCTCCTTGTGCTTATCAGGTTCCTCAACCCCCTCGTGCTTATCAGATTCCACGACAAAAATCACCCACCAAATCCCGCCAAATTACCACAACCACCGATTACGTACCCACATGGCAGGCCCCCATTGGGCATCCTCTTGCGCACTACAAGTTGAAAACACAGGGAATCACAGCCCATTTTCCAACCGGGGCCCACCCTCCCACCACCAATAATTGATGATTGTCCTGATCCCCTCTGTACTCAAGCTGGCACCACTCTCTCCTTCTACACTTGTACTAGATCACTACCTCCACTCCAAAAATCTTCCAATCCCCTCCTCCTCCAAAATCTCAAAAACCCTAATTCTTTGTAAATATCACCACCACCGCAAATAAATAAATAAATAAAAATCTCTCTTCGCTTCATGCTTTTGGGTTGACTCAGGGATTTTAACAAACATGCTGCAGCTGCTACACTTCATGTTGTGCTTCCTCCTCTCATGGATCACGTGCTCAAGTTCGAAGCCAACGTCGATGTACGACGTTCTGTGTGCCCACGGGCTTCCGATGGGGCTGCTGCCGAAAGGGGTTGTCGACTTCGAAATCGACGACGCCGGCAGGTTTACGGTCCACCTGGATCAGGCCTGCAATGCCAAGTTCGAGAGCGAGTTGCATTACGACAGAAACGTTTCGGGGACGTTGAGTTTCGGGCAGATCAGATCCTTGTCGGGTATTTCGGCCCAGGAGCTGTTCCTCTGGTTCCCGGTTAAGGGTATCCGGGTCGACGTCCCCAGCTCCGGCATCATCTACTTCGATGTCGGGGTTGTTTATAAGCAGTTCTCGCTGTCGCTTTTTGAAACGCCCCCGGAATGCACGGCTGCCTCTGGCGGCGTTGAAGCCGTTGGGGCGGTGTACAAGGTGAATTTCAATCTTCTTCTCATTTGTTTTGGAAATTACTGCTATTTGGATTGAATTTTAACGGAAAAAATGTGACTGAAAGCGTGTAATTGATTGATTGATATGCAGAGTGAATCGGGGAGATTGCGGTCTAAGCTCCTTTTCGATCATGTTGGGAGGGATTTTGTGTAGAATTTTGGAGGGAGAAGTGGATTGGAATTGTGGGTTTTGCAGAGTCTGGATTAGTGTGGGTTGGGTTGAGTTTTCTTAATTTTCACTGGCCTGTGAATTCGATTCGAAACCGAAGATTGGAGGAGGCAGAGGGCAATACAGTCCGTTTGGTGTCTCAGCTGGAAAAAGATTGAGTGAGGCAGAAGAAACAATTTAGTCCGAAGAAGCCCAAATCAGGTGATGCATCTGCAAACAGGTTTTGTATTTGTATTTTTAAGCTCATAATTGGTATCGTGAAAATGGTATAAAAGCTTGCAATAAAAATCCTTACTTTCTGTAGCAAATGTATGTCGATTTCTGTTCTCCGTCTTCGCTTTGCTTTTCCCTGTTTTTGTTTTTGTCCACACACACCGTATTCTACGTTAAACTAATCTAAATTGCGGGAGGGAGCACAATTCCGCTTGTCAATGCGGCTACGCATACGTAAAGGAGCAACGGAGTAAATGAGACGAAGAGAACTAACCCATCTATTTATATTGTCTAGTTCTATGCGCAAATCCAATTTCAATGATTGGGGTCTAAAACCTTGAAGAACTCCGTGTCCGTTGTCTCAGAGAGTTTTGAGCAGAGGTAAATTCTTTTTGCACCGGATTTTTGTTCCAGGAAGCTGTTTCTGTGTGACCAAATCCTTCGTTAGTTTTGGTTTCTTCTTTGTCAGAGCAGAAGCTTTGCAGATGGTGTATGCGTAATTTTCTGTTTCTTTATGCAAGCGGAAGTATGGGGACACCGAATGTTAGCGTAAATGCTATTAATTACTTGAGTTAGGAGCCTTTAAGTGATTTTTTTCTAAGTTCCTTCAAATAGTTGAGGTACTTAGCTACATATGCTCCTTCAAATAGTTGAGGTAGACTAAGGGCTAGTTTGGTATTGATGTGCTTTTTGAAAAAAATTGCTTCAGTTGTGCTGTAAAAATAATTAGTTGTAAAATAAATCAGTTGAGTGTTTGGTAAACTTTTGTTGTAAAAATGCTTTTAACAATAAAAACAGTGTTCAAGTGTTTGATAAACTTTTATGTAAAAATGCTGTGACAATATTAAATGACTAAAAGGGTATGATGTTAAATGTGATTTAATAATTTATTTTATTTTTTATTTATAATTTCATCTTCAATCTTCATCATTTATCTTTATGTTATTTATTTATTTATTTATAATTTTAGCTTCCATCTCTCTCGTTTATCTTTGTTTTATATTTATTTATATTTTTATCTTCCATCTCCATCTCAAATGGAATCGTGCAATTAAAATGAGACCAAAGTCATCTTCTTCCTCGCGGCCGACTCTGCTAAAAAAAATAAATAATAATCTGATTCCGACATCTTCATGTACGCCCACCTAGCCCCTACCCAAACCCGCATATATTTTGTGGCCAATTCGGAAGGTGTAGATTATCCGACGAGACCAGAGGGGCACTTGGGCTTCATTTTTGACAAGGGGTGGGGCGCGCCTCCCCTCCTGTCCCTCTGTTATGCTCTAGTCCTCTGGATCGCAAGCGTTTCGTTCCTGGAATAGTTCCCGTAAAGCAGAAATCTCCAGAATATCATCTTCCCTAACAACATAATCGTCGGCGGCGTTGAATTCCTCGCAAAGCCGGACTCGACTCGTCATCTCGAACAATCAGATTTGAAGATTTGATACGATGAGGGAAGCGAGAAGGAGAAACAAAGAGGGTATAATTGGGTTTAAGAAAGTTTCATTAAACTTTACTGTTCATCAACCTACTTTGAAAAAAAAAGAAGCAGGTTTTAAGAAGCATTTCTGCTTATTTTGGTTGGAACTTTGAAAAGAAGCGCTTATTTTTACATTTACAAAACACATTTTACACTCCAAAATTTTTTCATAATTGTTTTTTTTTTTTTTTTTATAATTTCAGCTGTGCCAAACTGGTACTAACAATGTAGGAAGAGCTAAGGCAGAATTTCCTATATGTCAGTATTTTGACTGGAACTGTTCCTTTCGCTTGAGTTTGAAGTGTTCTGCAGAGGGCCACTCACTTTAGGGTTTTATGGTTATGAACTTTATACATATGGGATATGAACTTTATATATATCCTTTCGCTTGAGTTTGAAGTGTTCTGCAGAGGACCACTCACTTTAGGGTTTTATGGTTATGAACCTTATATATATGGGATATGAACCTTATGTATATGGGATATGAACTTTATATATATTTTGCATCTGCAATAGGAATATCATGATTTTTGTGCTAATTACATATTTTTAGTATTTTTCTGGGAAAGTTTTTTCCTCCCTCACTGTTTGACATGTGGACAAATTTGCTTTTTGTGATATATAAGTTGATGCAGTCTTGTATACGTGCCAACTTATAATTTGCAGTTGAGAGATAGTTTTTAATTGTAAAAAAAAAAAAAAAAAAAAAAAAAAAAAAAAAAAAATATCTTGTGTTCATTTTTCTCAATCTTCGAGTCTTTTTTCTTAGGCCAACCTCATTTTGATTTATCTTGTATTTATTTTTTTCCTATGGACCCTTGGTGCCTGGATGCTCAAGGCTTTAAGGCAAAGATTCTGAATGATTGATGGAAAAACCTAAACTTGTAAATGGCTCAAATTTTAATCAGATCAGTTTTGATTCGTATTCGAATTCATTTATAATTAGATAATAGATTTAGTATCTATTTGGATCATCGCATATGACTTGTCAATCCAGATTTAACTATTTTCTATTTGTGATTAAATTTTTCGTGTTGAATAATAAGAAAATAGAATATAATTGTATTTTTATTGCATAAAAAGCTTATACTACCATTACACAAAAGAATAAATAATATAAAAATAAAATAATGTGTTATATTAAGTTGGATCGTAATGCTCAGATCAAGCCTCAATCCATATCCTAATCCATTTATAATCGAATTATCGAATTCGGATTTTATTTGGGCAATCGGATAGATAATCGCAATCGATAGCCTATTAATTACATCAAATTGGTATCAAAATTTGAGCCATTGACATGTCTAGCCTTGCCCCATCACCACCTAACTCAAGGCCCAAAAACAACATCAAATTAGATGCCCTGAATTTACTGCTTATCCACTCCATCTTAGTATGGCCCATAAATTAAAGAAAACATAATGCCGGTTTAAACTTTTATTTTTTATTTTTTTATTTTTTAACAAATAATATTATTTACACTGAAGGCAGAGTAATGGGTTTAGCCTCACATTAAACTTAAACTTGCTTTTAAAATGGCTAAAAATTCTAAAAATAAAATACTCCTCTAGTGATGTTTAGCAAAAACTTTACAAAGTTATTCTGAAATGCTGAGAATGTGGTTTTTCAACGCACACTTCTTAGCACTATCTAAGTACAAGTACAACACATTTTTTTTTTTTAATTTTTAAATTTTTAATTTTTAATTTTTACAAATGATATTATTTACACTAAAGGGGTAGGGAGTGGCTAAGCCTCATAATGAGCTAGTAATAATATGGTTCAAATTTGCTTTTGACGAGAATCAAATCTAAGACCTCTCACTTACAAGTGAATACCACTAGACTGTAGTAGTGGCTGCATATTTTATTTTTATTACTCCAAATAACTACATAAAGTTTTGAAAAATTGACATTTGTTAGGTTCACTAGCGTTAAGTTATGAGGTGGACAAATACGAAAGCATGTTTAACTCTCAAGTCATTTATGATGCTTAATCAACGCAATTTAACTAAGCAAATTTATAGTTTAACTTCTCTAAAAGGGGTCGATTTGGGGGACTAGAGCACCAAAGACAAGGAGCATTTTTGCTCACCATCATAAACTATGATGTATGCTCACCATACACCTAATCAATTGACACGTGTAATTTCACTTAACTCTAGTTAACTTTCACATTAAATGTTAGTTTTTCAATTTTGAAAAAAAATAACCAAGAGTAAGTGAAATGACACGTGTCAATTGATTAGGTGTATGGAAATCATACACCATAGTTTATGGTGGTGAGCAAAAATGCTCCCCCAAAGACAACGATTAGTGAAAACCTACTTTATTTGCCCAACTTGTCATTTAATTCTATAACGTCATCACTTAATGTCAATAAAGTTTTGACTTAACATCGGTTGTTATTTATAATGTTTAAAAAAAAATAAGACTAATTTGAAATCACTCTAACAAATTGGTGACTTATCCCTAATTATTTTTGTTCTAGAATTATCGCTTTGATGAGAGTATTCCACCCTTGCTGTAAAAAAGAAAGGGAAAGAAATAAGATGATTGCTTCGAAATTAGAATTATTAAGCATTCTGGGGCATGCAAATAGACATCCCCACATGTTAGCGGTTTGCATCTGCATTCATTTCCATGGTGCCATTGTTACATATATTTATTATGTCCCAACTTCCCAACCCATTATGTGGTTTGTATCTGCGTTCATTTCGTGTGCATGTTAAACCGCAAATCGAACCAAACATGCTGTAATATTGGATAGATTACATCGTTTTTGAGCTATTATGGTTCAATTGTGATTTGAAATTTGGATAAACTGCTATGTGTGGTTTGACTTGTGGTTTGAAACCTAAAATCGGACCGAACTAAATTGTACCCAACGCTAGTGAGTCTTACTCTTTTGTAGTGACCAAAAAAACCTTCTTAAATGCATTAACTCCATTTCTTCTCCATCTTTAATGTTAAAGACCAATGACCTTTTCACATAAAAAACTCAGTTGATCTTGAGTTTGAAGTTACAACCACCCAAATCAACTGACCAAAAACTATGTCATATCTTTGATTAAAATTTATGTCACTTGAAAGGATTATTTTGAGTTTGGCCCGATTCTGTCTAGTTGCACGATTGCAAGATATTTCTTGTTGGTTTTTTTTTTTTTTTTTTATTTTTTATTTTTTACTTTTATTTGGTCCATCGTATTCATAGTAGGTCTAAAATTATTTTGAACTTGAAAAAGGGCGAGTAGGAGTTATTTTAGAATTCAAAGTCAGAATAAGATCCCTAACTATGATGGAATGTATTATTTCTCTTTCGTTCTCACTCGTCACATTGAAGAATGAAGAGATTCTATGACGAGCGGGGAAGATAGAGATACATCTCCATTAAACGAGAGTTTTCCTTGAGTAAAGGAGTACATAGTACGTGCCTTTTTACGCCCTTGGTTCTAATCTTATAGCGATTAATAATGGGAAATGCTTGGAAGAACATATTTTAAAACCAAATTTGGTAAACCATATGATATAACAATAAAGTAAAACTTCACAATTTAAAGAATTTAAAAAAGAAGACCAACTGTGAACTACCACATCATGGCAATACATGTAATTTATTCTCTTAATATGGGAGTGAAATTTTGGTCTCTAATGGTGGTGAGTGAGTGGGACTAGTGGGCCGATGAAGTAGCATTTTGTTAACGCTGGGCCGATTTAGGCCTACCCAAGGACACGAGCCTGAGGAAAAGTCAGGAAGTTGAAGGCCCCAAGAGTTCAGAGAGGGCCGACACCAGGGGCACCGGTCGACCGAGATAAAATGACTACCTATCGAAAAGAGCATGTGGGTATGCTGACAACTTTATGGCACAAATCTCCAAAAATAGAAGTACTCGTACTCGAGTGCTACTTAATTGGACTATTCAACGACATGCATACAACAACAGAGGCCTAGTATGGGACATGAAGGCAATCGGGGCAGTGCTCCGCAAGGCAAGGCAGAGTAACTGAGGTTTGAGCATGACACTTAGGCCACCTATGCCTTAAAAGACGTGCCAACCGACTGCTAGAACGTCACTTCGCCGACAAAGGTCAGGCCAAGTATGTGAAAAGTTGTCAGTAAGCTAGGACAAATAGTTGGCACATTAAGTGCTGTTTTGAAAGGTCTCAAGGGTGAAAGCCCTATATAAAGGGGTAGAGACCTCCATTGTGGGGGTTTGATGAATCAAAGAGAATAAAGTGAATTAGCCGAGTGCCATTTAATCTTGAAATCTATATATTGAGAGCAACACAGTGAATGTAGAGGATAAAACAACTTACATTTTTGAGTTCATTTAATTTCAATCCTTCTCTGTAGCCCATCTTGTATTATTTAATTAAGTTTGTTAACATTACCACTTTGAGTTTTAGAAGGAACAAACACGCAGCTTTACAAACCTGAAATTCTTAGGAAAACGAAACCGAACGTGGCCATGTTATGTAGAGTTAGTTGCGATTGATGAACATGCGAGCCCTTGATTGCAGTGAGATTTCAGAAGACCGTTGTCGGATTTGCATGCTTCTTTGTCCAATTTCAGATGCCACTCTTGGCTCTTGGTGTGTGCTTTTGCTTCAGCACTAGAGCTTGCTTTTTTGGTTTATTACCAATCTTTCTATGTAGTTTCATGATTTCCAAAACTTCCCCCGTACCAATTGCCAACGTAACAAAAACAAAAAGGTTTCAAGTCCTATCCAATATATTGATAGGTTTACAACTTTACACTAATCACGTATTGTTTGCTAACTTGCAATTCAAGAACTAATTACAATAACATTATGTCATGTAAATTTCTAATAAATAGATTTGATTTAATGAAAGGGTAATGCTAGAGAGATTAATTTTTTCATTATAATGCTAGGAAGATTAAATTTGTAAACAAAATTTGCAAACTAAATTATGTGGAAGTTGATAATTGGATTATTACTTAAGCGTTTATAAACATGCGTATTCCTATTGGTGACACATCCTTTAGTTTGCAAAAATGTTTACAAATTTAGTCTCCCTAGCATTACCTAATTTTTAAAACCAAATTTGCAAACTAAATGATGTGGTTGTAAATGATTGGGTTATTAATTAAGTGTCGATTAATGTGTTTGTTTATTATTGGTGACACATCATTTGGTTTGCAAATTTGATTTTAAAATTTGGTCTCCCGAACATTATCCTTAATGAAAACCTAACCATTCCCAAATCATGCATGTAAGTATTAAATTTTTATTTACTGATAGATTCATATACGAGTCATGTATCCAGTTACCCTTATTCAAGATTTCTCAGATATTTTCTCTAAATATCACTGTTATCGAGATGCTTGACAAAATATTTGAAAGAAACTTATGCAAGGTAGGTAGTCAAAAGCAAGTAGCCAAAGTGATATGCAAACTTCATCCTGCACCAAAAATGAGAAGTTCTTGAATACACTAGTACTTCTACATGTTACATTCATTGATTTGAACATAACAAGTTCTTTTGACCACTCACCCCTTAAAGCAGTATTCTATAGCATCGAATCATGTTAGTGCAGTCATATTCAACATTGTTATCCTTTTTCTTTTGTTTGATTGTAATCATGGTGTAGTTATAGTTGGAATTGAAAGAGACGCATGTTAAAACTCATAAAACAACAGAACGCCGGTCCCCTACCGGAAAATGTAGAAAGATCGCAGACAGTCTTTATAATTACAACAAAACCAAAGGGTATTTCTGCAAAAATCAAATCAAATTTCCCATCTTTTGGACCCGCCACGTTATCCCATCACGGACCGTCCATTTCTACGACCCCAAATAGCAACCCACTTTCAGAGACCCATACAAAACTAGCAACTCTGTCTAACACGCAGCAAAACACTCCCACCTTTCTTCTCTCTGTTTTGCCAATCGAATTTTAAAGAAAATCCATTCGGTCTATCACTTCATCTCTTCCCAACACCACCCAATTCCTCGCCGGAAACAACTGTTATCCGGCGGAGAAACCCCCTTTCACCGCCGACCCATTGCCATGTCCACCACTCCTATCTCCTATCCAATAACCTCAAGACCCTTCCTTTCTCTCACACCCGCCACCGCAGCCTCAAAACTCTTTGCAAACCCGAATTACCACACCCAAAGCTCTCTCTTTTCCTCCTCTTCGTCTTCCTCCAGTCATTTCCCCAAAAGGGTATTCAGAAATGGGGTTTCTCTGTCGATAAGAGCTTGCTCGACGTCGCCGTTTATCGGCAGAGTCGGGTCGCAGAGGAGGGAAGGCAACGCGTCGATGCTGTCGTTTGGGATAAACCCATCAGCTCAAATATCCAAAGGGGCTTCCGATGCTCGTCGTCTCAGGTCTTATCTGCAATGCTTCCTTTCGTCGTTGCTGCTACCGCCATTGCTGCTCTGGCTCAGCCGTCAACGTTCACTTGGTAAGTTCTGGTTTTCTTGAATTTTTATTGGGTTTTGAATGGTCGCATGTCGAGTTCTTGTGGAATTAGCAACTGGGATTCTGTTTTTTTTTTTTTTAGTTTATAGCAAGTCCAGTCCAAGTTGGCTTATTTTATGTATGGATACTTTGTTTTTGCTGGGATAATTAAGGATTAAATTTATAAATTAATACTATTTGTGGATACCCTTTCGTATAGATTAATCTAAAGTCATTATCTTTAATCCTGGATCATTTTAGTCAACTCTTAACTTCAGAGATTTTGGTTTAGGAAAATTTTAAAGCTCATGAGCTGGGACTGCTTGCATGTGTTTGATTTTAGACACATGAGAGTCTAATTTTTTGTTAATTTAGTTTAGCAATGTATTAACTCAAAATTAATACAGGGTATCCAAGGATTTATATGCCCCTGCTCTTGGTGGGATCATGCTGTCAATTGGAATCAAACTTTCGATTGATGATTTTGCTCTTGCATTCAAAAGGTAATATCTTTGTTCAGCATTGTGTATATATTCTTCTTACTGTCATTTATTTATCCTAATCTGTCTGTGAGGTTTTGAGTGTGCTTCCAATACTCTTTACTTCTCATCTGTTGCAGACCTTTACCACTCTCTGTTGGGTTTATCGCGCAGTATGTGCTGAAACCGCTACTTGGGGTACTAATTGCAAACGCATTTGGCGTGCCGAGGATGTTCTACGCTGGCTTTGTTCTCACCGCTTGTGTTGCAGGGGCTCAGCTATCTAGCTACGCTAGTTTCTTGAGCAAAGGAGATGTGGCCTTGAGCATTCTCCTTACCAGCACCACCACCATTGCTTCCGTGATTGCAACGCCTTTACTAACTGGCCTTTTAATCGGTTCTGTTGTTCCGGTTGATGCTGTTGCCATGTCAAAGTCAATATTGCAGGTAATTGGGAGCTTAGTGATACAGGCGATTTGGCTCTGGCTTTATTTTTTATGCTCAATGTACATTTCATTGACATTGTTATTTTACATGTTAGGTGGTTCTTGTTCCAGTTACAATTGGTCTTGTGCTCAATACTTATGCAAAACCGGTAGTCAATTTCCTTCGACCAGTGATGCCAGTTGTTGCTATGATTTGCACTTCATTGTGCATTGGTAGTCCTCTTGCAATTAATCGGAGTCAAATTCTATCCGTAGAAGGTTTCCGGTTGATATTTCCAGTCATAGCATTTCACGCTGTGGCCTTTACACTTGGATACTGGGTATCCAAATCTCCAGGTTTGAGGTAAATGTTCCTTTGTCATGGAATGTTAAAGTACATGCTTGGAAGTCATGTCTTGTCCGCTGTGAGGAAGAACTGTGAGCCGTTGGCAAAATATGATAATTAGCAACCTTTGTTGCCGTTGCCCTTGTTTTTCACTTTGATTCCTCATGTTTCTGTGGATGTCCATAGTTAGGTTTTTATCTTTCACCCTTGATAATCTTGCAAATAGCTTACATATTCGTTGCATCCCCAGTCTCAGATAGCAAGTATCTATGAAAACTTGTCTGTTGATAGTTCCTAGGAGAGTCATTAAGCTCACTTGGTTCTAAGAAATTTTAAAGCCGAGGTCAGGAGCATTTTTATATCCCCATGTTCACGTATATATAATGTTATTGTTGTCACCACAGGCAAGAAGAAGAAGTTAGCAGGACACTTTCCTTATGCACAGGAATGCAGAGTTCCACTTTGGCAGGGCTCCTTGCAAGCCAGTTCCTTGGGAGCAGCCAGGCCGTTCCTCCAGCATGTTCAGTTGTTGCCATGGCCATCATGGGCCTTTTTCTTGCATCTTTCTGGGGCACCGGCTCTCGAATCAGAGACCTGCTGTCCCTACTAACGCCTCAAACAGGTTCTCCAATGAAGGCGTAGCAATGAAAACAACAATCAGGGAACTCACGGGGCATATATAATGCTAATTTAGTTCACACTGATGGTTGGGGTTACTTACGCAGAACATTACAAGGACGGTACAATAAAAGAGATGATCCCGGCGGTCATGTTGAACCACCTTAACCGGTTTGGAAAGCAACTACTGCATACAGAGAGGATTGGGAATCGAATATAGATGGCGAGAAAACATAGTTTAGGATAGAGTTGTAAAGTTGTAAAGTTGTAAAGTTGTAAAGTTGTGAAGCTTTTTATACCATCATGTGTATATTTATGTTGTTACCTTGTAAGTAATGATAAAGGTTTACAAATGTCATCCCCTCTCTCTCTCTCTCTCTCTCTCTCTCTCCCCGTGAAGCTCATCAGGATTTTGAAAGGCTTCGGCTAGTAAGCTCATCAGGCCCAACATAGATAAGACTTTTTATGGGCTGACTACGGAATGATGCTTGTTAGTTGTGATCTCGTGAATGGCAAGAGTTTGCTGTTTGCATCACTCTCGAGTCACGGACTATTCCTTATAAAATTGACAAATACCAGTTAGTAAAGGTCTCTTTGTCAATCTAACGGCAAAGCGAACCTTTCCGTTTTTAAAGTAGAACTCTCCATTGGGACAGCAAATAAGACCTTTTTCCTTCGTTTTTTTTTTTTTTTTTTTAATTATAAAAAACTTAACCTTCTAGATATAGAGAAACAAAACATAGCGGAAGTGACATCAATCCGGCATCCATGAAAACAAAACGTTTTTATAATCATGTGCGCCTGATGTTATGAACTGTGCAGAGAAGTATGTGAAATTCTTGTGTAAGTCCGTACTTAAAGAATGCAAAGAAGATATGCAATTTATGGCTGAAAAATATGTTAAAAGTTGTGTGGGTCGTCTAGAAATTGTCAGATCAACGCCGTTTAAACGGGTTACATATACAGAAGCTGTGGATTTGCTAGTTGAGGCTGTCAAAGATGGTAAGAAGTTTGAGAACCATGTGGAATGGGGGATTGATACTGATTAAAGTGAGTTCAATGATTTTTCCTTTTCTTTCGTGCAGATACTTGACGAGGAGAACTTTAAGCAGCCGGTTATTGTTTACAACTATCCGAAAAAGACCAAAGCCTTCTATAGGCTCAATGAAGACGGTGAGACAGTGTTTGCTATGGATGTCGTCGTCCCAAAAGTAAGGCATTTTCCTCTGAAAGGTTTTTCCTTTAATTTTAATACGTGCTATTCTGTACATGTACATTGGCATCGTGCATCTTTTCAGCACGTAAATGTTTGTGTTTTTCATGTTTCAGGTTGGATGGTTGATCGGTGGAAGCCCAAGGGAAGAGTGTTACGGTGTTCTAAAGGAAAGGTATGACAACGTACGAGTACTACATATGCATTTTCATCTTGTCTTTATTTATTAGTGACATGATCGATTATCTGAAAATCCTTGTGGGATTGTAGGATTCTGGAGATGGAACGGCACGTTGAGGATTATCAATCGTACCTAGACTTGCGGCGCTTTGGGACTATTAAGCATAGCGGCTTTGATTTAGGGTTTGAACGGATGGTTATGTTTGCCACTGGGCTTGACAACATTAGAGATTGCATTTCCTACCCTAGAGATCGAGGAAGAGAAGATCCTTAAATTATAGGCGGTTGATGTATATAATTAGGGATACATTCGAGTAAGTCCTGTTTGACATATTATTCAGAGAAACATATATAGAACAAAGGATTTGTGTTTGCTTCGTGAAGCATCTATACTTGCTGTGGAATTTCACTTATAGCATTGTGTTTGCTTAAAATGCTAAGATTAAATTTGCGCTTTCATTTTTCATTCATTTCTTGCTATATATGGACAAAGGAGGAGTGAAGTCTTCAGTGGTGTCCATAGACTATATTCTTGTGGCCTCTAGTTTTTCTCAAATTAAATTGGATAACCTGCATAGGCTTTAAACTACTGGATCTGCAAGCTTTTGGTTGCTAGTTCTTGACCTTTGCAAAAGAAGCTAGAGCCAGCATAAGATAAAAATAAAGATAATTCTCATATTATATATTTTCATAGAACTGCACCAAGGAAGTAACTGAAAAACAAAATATTTTCATGATCATGTTTGTAGGTAATATTTTTTATATTTTTCCTTGTTAGTTGTCGACTTGCCTCTCGAGGGTTTTCTGGTTTCCTGAAATTATTAAAGTTATGGCATGCCAATTTGTGATTCTACATTCAAAGAATTAGCTTTATCTTCAAGAGCAAGCAATCCAAGATTGAGGAGAAAAAGAACATATGTGGGTAATATATATATATATATAATGTACTAATGCGGAGCCTCATATATATATATCTCTGTCTGTTACTTAAAACAAGTGGATAAAGCTTTCATAAAATTAGATGGAGAAATATGAGTCTCCGTTTCTCTCTCTCTCTCTCTCTCTCTCTCTCTCCTCACGAGAGAGACACTACACACATGCAGACAACAAATATACACCTCTTTAAAGATTTGACGCTATATGGATGCATTACAATTTTTTTCTTCATTTTACTTTGCTTCTATGCAACTTAATTAATTTATTTTTCAGGCCATATATTGTTGCCTTTTTTTTGTGTGTGATTGAAACTGTTGTTATATATATATATATATTATATAAATCAATCCAAAATTATTAACAACATATATAGCTGATCAAACAGCAGAACAGATATCTGCAATCTTTTCCATCACCTTTACCTGAGTCTTGAGACACTTTATATAATGCGCAGCCTCATCCAACATGCTGCAAATATCCATGGCTTCCCCACCTGGTACAAACTTCCGAAGCTCGTCCGCCTCACAAATAGTACCGATCTCTTCCTCATCATCACACTTCTTCATCTTCATCCTCTTCTTACTATTGTCGGTTCTTCTGGCTGAACAATTATAAATCTGCGAACCCTTGTGGCTTCGATTAATCTTCGTAAGCAAAGTGCGACTCCAAGCTCTTCTAGTCCCAACTGCTGAGGCCATGGCAGCATCAGCAGCATTCTTAACACTCAAATATCTTCTACACATCTCCATAGGAGAAGGTATATTTGTTGATGATGATATAGATCTTTGCCTATTAATTCTCTGCAAGGCTTGAAGAAAACCTTTTGTGAACCTAGATTTAAAAGTGGTATATTTAGACCTCAAAGACAATCGCTTCGGATTCATGGTGTGGAATTGGGTTTTGCTCTTAGAGGGATGGACCAAAAGACTAATAAAAGATGGAAAATATATAAATTTTATTCTGACAGAGGGTCCTCTTGTTCCCAAAGCCCACAACTCACAAGGACAAAAGGAGAATCAAATTCTGACACAAATGTCAATGCACGTTTTACTTTTCATCTATCATTATTAATTTTTTATATTAATTTTTTTAAATTCATATAATTTGAAAGTAGAAAATTAAGAAGGATGTATAAGAAGTAAAAATAAGTGTGTGAATAGTTTTACTTTTTTTATTTCATGATACAATTGATATTTGGAAAGGGGATTTATATTTGAAACTTCAAATATAAAAAATAATGTTCATAATAAATTGAACTACAAACTCTTTAGAAGAATCAAATTCTTTAAGATACTACAAATAATGCATTAATTATTCATGGGGGCTTCTTCTAGCTAGTAGTTGGGGATTTTGCTTTTTGGTAAACAGTAGCTTGGGGGTTTAGGCGGTGAAAAGTGAGTTTTGTGGGGTTGCTATAAGGGCCAACTACCATATGAGAGCACATGGTTGCATTGCAATACCCACTTGGATTAATTGTGGGGCCTTAATTTCTCATTTCGTCTCTTTGTTTTTTTTTTTTTTTTTTTTATATGAACCTTTCCTAGTAAATCGTTGTATGCATGCTTACGACAACTTTGCAATATTTTAAATTTGTATTTTCTGGTCACCAGTGATCAAATGGCGAAGGCAGAGGGTGAGGATGGGGTGACGATCAAGCCATGTTCTAGTAAACAAGATCAAACTACGTCCTGTCATCAGGAAAGCTGTTAGTTTTTATGCTTTGAAGTGTTTTAAAATATTCACTCTTATACTTAAAGTCTAATATGCGATATTACCATATCTCAATATGCAATGTTATAGAGTTCAAATTCTCTATTGGTATATATGTTTAGTTTTTATTTTGAGTTTCCATGATCTTTTGACTCTAAATCCTGAATCTAAAACATTTAACTACTTCGAACATACAAATTAAACATATCATACTAAGAGCTTGTAAGAATTTACAAAATATTCACGTACCCTAAGCATGTAAAATCGAATATGCGATATTTTTCTCTCTCAATATACTAGTATATATTGTACAAAGAAGAAGAAAAACATTTTCATTTTTCATTGGGCAGGGTGGTGTGTTGAAGGATCACATGGGTCCAAAGTTTCGTTCCAAAGTTCTCCAAACCCCCAAATGCGCATGTTTATGGCTCCAATAAGGATCAATTGTAGGAAAAAAAATTAAATAAGTCTTGCACGAATGTAGGAAAATTACAGCTTGAATCTTATAAGATCGTTATGTAAGTAAGAAGGTTACCTTTGCACTGTAAAAACTACTAACAGTGCATGCCACTTCAACCCCAGCATGCATCGATCTTTCTATTACATAATCTTGGAGAATGAAGAAAATATATGTAGTTTTTAGTTCCCCTTGAAAGTGATGTTAATATTTTGATAGGGCAATTTTTTTTTGGGTAAATTACATTTTACCCCCTCAGGTTTGTGGTGGATTTTAATTCCTTACAACAGCTTTAAAACATTTCACTTTCATACCTTACCTACTATTTTATTTCAATATGGTACATTCGTTACATTTTCCATTCATTAATCCATTAAGAGCTGACGTGGCTGTCACATTTGTGCCATATGGCTACTACATGTGTGCCACGTGGCAAAAAAAAATATTATTTTAATTTTTCTTTTTGAAAAAAACCTGAATCTTCTCAACAACAAAAAAAAAAAAAAAAAAAAACGCAGAACCCACCCCACCTTCCCCGCAACCCCTCCCCACCCCTCTTCTCCCTCCCGAGCCTCCCAACCACCTCCCTCTCCTCCACTCTCTTCACCTCCCCTCCTTCGACCCGGAGTCCCTCCAACCACTAGAATCCCAACCCCTCAACTCATCCACCTTCTCCCTCCAGCTCCACCCCCGCGACGCCCTCTTCAATTCCTAGCACAAGGACTACAAATCCCTCACCCTCACCAAACTCGGCCCGAGTGAACTTACTCCACACCAAGCTCCAGATGGCACTCCAGGGGATAAAAAGAGGTGATCTCGAGCCCATGCACGTTTAGATCCAACCCCAGGACCTCTCCACCCTGTTGTCTCCTGCGTTAGCCAGGGCAGCGACGAGTACTTCTACCGGATCGGCGTTAGGACTCTGGCGAAGTCGATCTACATGGTGCTTGACACCGACAGCGACGTCAATGCGGCCCCTGCTCCGATTGCTACTAGCAATCTAACCCGTTTTTTAATCCGGCCAGATCTTCCACCTACAGCCAGCTCTCAGGCTCGATTAAAAAAATCACGTTGGGATGCGAACACGATAATGAGGGATTAGGTGAAGAGAGTGGAGAAGAGGGAGGTGGTTGGGAGGCTCGGCTCGGGAGGGAGAAGAAGAGTGGGGAGGGGTTGCGGGGAAGGTGGGGTGGGTTTTGAGTTTTTGAGTTTTTTTTTTTTTTTTGAGAAGATTCATGTTTTTTTTAATTAAAAAATATTTTTTTTGCCATGTGGCACACAGGTGGCAGCCATGTGGTACAAATGTAGTAGCCACGTCAGCTCTTAACAGATCAATGGATGAAAAATGTAACAAATGTACTATATTGAAATAAAATAGTAGATGAAGTATGAAAGTAAAATGTTTTAAAGATATTATAAGGAATTGAAATCGAAAATTTAATTTATCTATTTTTTTTTCAACGGATAATTTTAAATTATTTCTCTTCAAACTGACAGATATGCATGCATGCCAAAACGCACGCTTGATTGGAGGTCATCAACCAAAAGAATCCACTACTGCACTTGATCAGTAGCAAAATACGAACATGGGTGGGCCCATTTTTTCCTATACTTAACCTTCACCAAAGTTCTAGAATTAGACTATTTAACTAACTCATAATTAGGCTTAGTATTTTCAAAGTAAGTTGGATCAGCATGTGCCTACCTCTAAATTAATTAATTAATGGAATTGTCTGGACCAGTAATATGCAGGCTGACTCAGTGTTTGGTGTGTGCATCCTCATCCTCGTTAAGCATATATACGATTTTATTTTATTTTTATGTTGCACTTATATATATATATATACACACACACATGTGTGTGTATGTGCCCGCGCGCATTAGGTTGACATACTGCCTAGATTAGTTTTGCATGGATATATATATAGAGTACAAGATTTCGATTTTATTTTTGTGCTGGTCATGCTGGGCGCTAGGAAATATAAATAAGTAAATAATTTAGAAATCCGAACAATGTTTAGTGAACCCAACTTCGTATCTGATCGTTTTTTAAACCTGCACTGCAGGTTTGATATTTCGAAATCCGAAAATTCTTTAGAAAGTCTTGAGGGAAATCTAGTTGGTAGAGTAAACCTGCTTAAAGGAATGTTCATGTAATGAATGAACCTCTTTATTTGGTTATATAAAACCAAAAACTAGAACAATAAAAAGAGAAAGACAAAGAAAATGGCCATTTCAATTAACGGACCTCTTTTGCAGGTTACAAGTTCTAGAAAACCGGTTTTGCAAATTAGTTGATTTGTGGAGAACATGTATTTTAGGTTCTACATAACCAATTAATTGGTTGAACCTAGTCAACCTCTGTCTTAGGTTTATAATTCTAATAAATCTATTATGTAGTTATGTAGTTCACTTGATTATAATGAACCTGTGGTTTAGATTTTGAAGAGTTAATAAACCTGACATGTAGCCATGGAGGAGAAATTGAATATAGTGAACCTGTTCTGCAGGTTTATATTCAATTATTTGGTGAACGTGAAGGTTTATCCAGAACAATAACCGAAACCCTACAGTATATTTTACATTTTGTCGATAAATGGTAGAGGTTGCTAATCTTAAAAAGCAATATCAAAGTCAAATGATTTAAACCGAAAACTGAAACAACAAAGACCAGGTGAAATATATAGATAGAGATGATCTTTGAGGTAAAACATAAAAGATAGATAATTGGATCGTTAAAATATATTACGGAATAAATCCCAAAAAACTTGTGTCAAAATGTATGTCCAAAACGTGTCCCTGAATCCTATATATTGCTTAGTGGCACCATCTGATACTTAAACCAATCCCTATCAACACAAATCAAACTTGAAATCTCAAGCACACAATGCTTATCATTTTGGTATTTCACACCAAAAAGTACCTCTAAACAAATAATCAAGTTAACCAAGTCTTCTAGGTCCGCTAAATACTAGCCTCCTGATCGAACAATTACTACATATGCGAGACCTCTAGGCTCTAGCTATAACCCCAAACAAAATGTCCTTAGTTACAAGGCAAGAAATTCTTAAATCTAATTGCATACATATAATTAAATCTAAGAAACAATTCCACATGTACACCTAACTATTGCAAGCACACCTGCAGATTCGGTACTACATATTATCCCCATGGCCGACAATAATATGTAGCCAAATCCAACTGATGTACAATAATCACCAAAGCCTCCCCATCTTATCCGTACTAAACAAAACTTGAGTGTAATATTTCAAAATGGGAAAATTCTATTAAGCTCCGGTGAATCCTACACCACTGAGAATTGTAACCATTACATTTTAATTATTGAACGCTTGACCAAGAATTTAACAACAAAAAGTCCCCGTGTTTAGAATACTCTGGTACTACGTACGTACTTTAAAATTTCTTCAGAACGTTATATTTCTAGTTTTCTACAACCGCATATATACTGGCCCGAGTATATTTTGTTAAGCTTGAACTGTACCCTACTCATCACTTGAACTGCACCCTACTCATCAGTACTCTGATAAGCACCATAAGCCATGCACATATAAGCTTTTTATGTTTTTGTTTTTCTTTCTTTATTTTCAGTTTAGTAAATTACATTAATATTATCCACAAGAAAGACGTGAGTTGCAAATATATACATAGTGAACATTAACTCTGTGACTACTTTTGGACATATCTAAAAGATTGAATAACTGGACAAAGCAAATCAAGAGTCATGGTTGTTATATCCGATAAGGGGATATATCGGATCAGATGATTAACAGGACAACCAATTTCCTGCATATCCTCTTTC